TGGGTCACTGGTTTCCATCCAGTCCTGGGTCTAAGGTGTAGGGATAGACCTGGGATTGAGCAATGAAGCATGTGGAACATTTAAAGTACCATGGCAGAGAAATTGAGCCTCATTAGAAGTTTGGAAAGACTCAGCCTTGCTCTAAACTTCTGCCCAAGACATCCTCCAGTTGAGCCAGCAGCAAATGGGCGCGTTCCCAGCTGGAACACAGATAGCCACACATGGCTTTCTTGTCTGCCACCAGATACAGAAACCAGTGTACTTTAGCAGGCCAGTTGTCACTGATCCTTCATTATCTATTGGCCAAGAATAAGGGCCACAAGGCCTAGGTCCATCTTTCTCCATCAGGTTGGTCCACATTTAAGCAGTATGTGGTGTAGGGTAGGGTGCAGCACTACAGCTCTTGAGTTCCCCATGGATGCAGGAAGCATGTGAAGGCACTGATGATACACTCTTTGCCAGGGTGTGTGGGCGATGTGAGGGGGGCATCTCTGGCTGTGCTGGCAGGGTGAAATGTAGCTCAGACTGTCACTGTTTGCTGTGCTCTTCAGACATGACACTTTGGGGATCTGAGGCATCTCCTTTCCTCCCCAAGACAAAGGGAGTTGTCCTAGGGGAATGGGGAAGCTGTGGTGTAGGGACAACCCCCACCACAGAAATCAGGGTGTTATCTGTAGCGGTGACTTTGTGGGGTTATGCAAAGTTTGAATGAATAAGGAGTCAGAGCCCCGTTAATAGGACTTGGGCTCCTAACTCACCGAAGTATTTTGTGAAATCTTCCTCTGTGTGCGCGGTGTTTCCTGCACCACTTTTGTCTCACCATTTCCTTCCCCACCCTGGATCGCTCACTGCTGCCTTTCTTTTCACTGCAGAAATCAGGAGTATTTGACCAGCGCCCTGAACTCTTCCCACGGTGAGTGAAGCGTGGAGCTGTGCTCTGGAATCATTAGACAGGGGGACATTATTACAATACTATTATTATTTAATCTTTTGGATTATCAAATGTGGGAGGAACAGGGAAGTGTTTGGAGGAAAGCAATGCACAACCCACCTTCCAGGATAGGTGGGCCCACAGAGGTGGACCATTCTGGCTGACTGCGAAGGCTCTCTCCTACCTCTGGTAATACGAGGTAGGACCTGAGCACCCTGAGCAGGTGGCCAGACCTGCGTGCTCCTTCTGATCCATCCTGGAAGAGCCACAATAGCAGCTTGCAACCTGAGTGTGGAGCTATATGATTCGTGCAGCTCTGCCTGCTTGGAAAGGGCTGAGGTGTAAGGGACGTGGCTTTTAACTTTGATGAGTCAGGACTGTGAAGATGAGACTTGCCATAAATCCCTGCTTTCCTTCCCCTGGCAGCTGGGTTGGTGTCTCCATGTTTCTGGCATGGTGCTGTGGCCTCTTTCTGCCCCCTGACTCCTTGCTTGGAGGGTCAGGGGCCATAAGTGTAGAGTGCTACTGCAACAACCAGCCTTATGCTAGTGTCCTTTCTTCATCCTATGGAAGAGGGAGGGTGAGAAGCCCTGAGGAGAACCCAAGGGGAAGCACATGGAAACCTGCAGCAGGGTGTGTTAAGGAGGGAGAAAACATACTCAGCAGCCAGCTTTACCACACTCTCCTCCTTGGCATGGAGGTGGCTGTCTGGCAGGACTAAATAGCCTTTGCTCGGTCAGCGGGACCCCTGCATGGTCTTTGCAGATTTCCTGATGGTTGCCTGTTTCCTTTCCCCTTCCAGAGGTACCAACCCCTTTGCCACAGTCAAGCTGCGTCCCACGGTCACCAACGACCGCTCGGCACCCATCATCCGATGAAGCGGGGCTGTGGACAGCAGAGAATTTCAGCAGGGAAGGGGGAGGCATACAAGTGATGGGCTGCGACCCCCAGCTGGGCAGCAACCTAGTGCTACCGCTCATGGAGTAACCTCTTTTTTCCCCTCCCTTCCCTCCGGGTCATGGGGACCCATCTCGCCTGGCTGTCTGGCATGCTTTAGCCAGCAGCAGATCCCTGCTGCTCTTTTTGGATTGCCCCCCGTTCCCCTCCCCATATGATGTTACTGTACTTGAGTGGGAGAAGTCTGGTGTTACTGGTGCTGGTGGCCTGGGAGAGGGGATGCTGCTGGTCTGGGAGGTGGAGGGACGGATGGGTAAGATCATCTGCAGCATGGGGCAGTGCTAGCAGGATGAGGAAGGCGAAACTTTGCTAGCCTTGCTGTGGGCAGAGAAGGACACTCGGCGAACAGTCCCTTTGCTTCTAGAAGAATGAACCCCAAAGGGAGGAGGCCACAAGAAGGCTTCCAGCGACGTGGTCCAGCTGACGGGGTCTGCAGCGTGCAGCTCTCTGCTCTCGGCCCCTTTGGCAACTGTGTCCGTTTGTAGCAGAATCTGCCCCTTCTCACCCCCGGCGCAGCCCCTTCCCTTGCTGGGCAGCCCTGGGGAAAGGGGGGGGGCAGGTGACAGTGCCCAGCGCTGCTGCCCTGCTCCTTCACCTATTGTCCTGCAGAAAAGATTTGGGTTTTTTTTTAAATAAAATGGAGACTGCCGCTTCTGTAGCCGTCCCAGTGGCCGGGACATCACCTCAGTCAGAGGACGCAGGGGGAGGAGGACGTGGGGTCCCCGCCAGCCCTAGGGCCGTAACGGCTGCCCATGGTCCAGACGTTGAACGCCGCAGTGCCGTGGCTCCAGCTAGGGCAACCGCCAGCCCAGGGGGCCAAGGCAGACATGGAGGGCACCAGGAGGGCTGTATGACCCACCGCCAGCCACCCCTCCGGCCCCCCCAGCTGTCCTGCCACTGGAGGGCAGCAAGTCCCCACTTCCCAGCTGCCATGTGCGAGCAGGCCTTGCCTGGGAGCACAAGGCCTGGCAGCCATCTTACTCTCGCCCAGGCTGTGAGCCCCCTGGGTGCCCCGGAGACAGATCAGTGTGTGGGGGAAATGCTCCCCCAGAGACCTGTGGGGGTCTGTGGGTGCCCCACCAGCCTGGCCCCACCATCGGGGGCCAAAGGGAGAGGTGGCGAGGGAGGGAGTATGAGCAACGGCCAGGGCTTTAGCCGATTAGCCTTATTAATAGAAATTAAACCCTGTCTGCGAGCGCTGCAAAGGCACAGCAGTGGGGGCTGAGGGGCTTTGGGGATTTACAGCCTGGGCCTTCCCCCCCACCCCCAAAATCCCACCTAGGGCAAGCCCTGGTCCCCTCCCTGGAAGTAAAACAGGTCCCCCCCATGTGTGGCCAGAGACTGGCACGTCCCTGGTGCCCACCAGACACCCTTCTGGCTGGCAGCTGCTGAGGGGTTTCATTTTGGTGGGGGGTGGTCAGTGAGCTGCCAGGGGCGGGCTGGATCCCGCCCTTTGAGCCATGGACAGCAGTGATTCCTCGGCCGGTCCACCTTGTCTTTGCTCTTTGCTGGGCACATGCCCTGCAGAGCCACGCCAGCGCTTCTCCATCCTTCTGGCTGGTGGCTGAGGAAGCGATGGGGGGCTTTGAAAGCAGCCCCTTCCCCCACTGTGCCCCTTACTGAAGCATGGGCCTGTGCCCTCATCCTCTGCTGCCCCCCTCCCCGGCACCCTCCCTCCTGGCTGGTCCATCACCAGCACCCCCCCCACCCTCCTGCCTCGGCCCTTCCAAATCTGCCCCCAGCCAGCCTGCCCGACTCTGCTGGGGGAAAGGCAAGGAGATCCTGGGCAGTGGGATTACCGGGGGATTCGGGCTGCGGCAGGCACCTACCTCCTCCCCATTGGCTGGAAAAGCCTCTTAAAAGTGGAGAAGTGCTTTCTGCCCGCTCAGCATCCGCCGGTCTCTGCCGACCTGAAACCATAAGCGGCTGCTGACCCACATCCACGCTGGGAGCGCCGTGGGGCACTACCTGCACCTGCAGGAGGCAAGGGGGTCCCCCACGCGGGGCGTCCCCCCGGATTGGCCACAGGCGGGTTTGCTGGGCAGCATCGGAGCCGGAAGAAAGCAAGCTGAGAGGGGGATTAGCTCTCTAGTGAGGGCATAGTTGCCCTGAAGGAAGGAGCGGGGCACAAGAGACTGCTCGACGGGCACTGGAGTCCTGCAGTCATCGCCCCGTGCCCAGCTGATAGCGTGCCCACCATGGAGCAAAGAGCCAGCGGGACCATCTAACCAGGCGCCCTCATCCAGAGCCGGGAAGTGCCAGCTGGAGGGAGAAGGGAGCGCTGTGGACAGGTCTGCTCGGCCCCCGGAGGCTCAGCTTGTGCTTGGGAGGTCGTCACTTCATTGCGCAGGTCAGTGGCATGGAGGGATGCTTGCATCCTGGCACTGGCTGCCAACAGGACAGCTCGTCCCAGGCCTGCACTCGTTTAATTCTCTAACGAATGCTTTTCCAGGGTGTTGTCTGTGGGCTGGGGAGGCTGGTGGCATGAATCGGGGCACTTACATTTAATAAACAGACACACCCTACCCCCCCACCCCCCATCTGTACTGTGTGGAGGCATGAGGAGCCATCCTAGCATTTGTGTGGACCCTCCTTGATGCAGCTTGCCTGCCATAGCAGGGCTTTGCTGGGCATCGTCCAGCACCGACTGCTCTGGGCTCTGTGTGCATCCAGGGACCAGCAGCCATGGCTGAACCTGCTGTGGCCCTCACCCTCCCAGCCTGGGCTGGTGACTTCTGGTGTCGGTGCAAGTCTTCTCCTGGCACCCACCTACAGCTAGCTCTGCGGCAGCGCCTGCTCTGGCCCACTTGTGTGTGATGCACGGGGAAGGGCAGGTGCCCATGCTGATGAGCTTTAAGGTGCATGTGAACTTACCCGTGGTATTTTTACCTGTGACTAAAGCTCCTTAACTGAGGAGAAAATAATAGCAAGCTGTAGAATGTGCAAAGGCAGGTGCAGGGTACATGGCGTGACCACCGTGTGCAGCCGTGAGCAGAAGAGCCAGCGTACACACCATGGTGTTAGGAGCAAGGCAGCTCTGAACTGCCTGGCTCAGAGCTGGGATAAATCTCCAGCAGAGCTATGCTATAGCATATTGGCTTTGGAGGCATCTCCACAGGTGAGCTCCTTTGGTGCACCTCATCTTATTCAGCCAACATCTAGCTGCAGGCAGGTAAAAGCCCCTTCGTGCCTTGCTGTACAGTTGTGTGGCACTGAGCAAGTGGCTCCTGCAGAGGTACCCATCCAGCTCCAAACTCAAGCAGTACTGATGGATATTTGTCTAACGTTCTTCAAAATCAGATGCCGTTGACTCATCATTGACAGGCGATGCTACAGAAATCTCTGAATGCCACAGATGGACAAATATTTTCTTGCTAGGAAGCTGGGAGGAAAAAAAAGATGAATTGCAATGGTTTGATTGATTCATTTGATTTGTGGTGCAGGACGAGATCAAGAAGAGCGAGGCTGGGAGAAGGGCTTGGATAAAAAGGCTCGGGGTGTATTTGGTGTCAGTAGCTCTTATTTGAGGTAGCTATGTGCAGCAGATGGTACAGTGGTGGAGCACCAGCACTGATCGAGAAATCATTGCGCTTTTGCAGCAGGTCACCTTCTGTACAGCTGTACCTAGCTTGTCAGTCAGGTGGAGCTGGGAGAGAAGCAGCGGGTGGGTAGTGGCAGAAGCTGAGCGAGACTGTTCAGTCTGGCTGTCCTGGTGCCAGTGATCCGGATAACACCAGAAAGGGTGTGAGGGGGAAGGTATGGGTGTCTGGAGAGTGTATCATGAATCATTTCTTCCTTGCAATGATTCCTTGCCTTGAAAATGTCTTTATAGCACCCTATTCTCAGTTCATGCCTCTGCCCCTTGCCACAGTCCCCGAGACCTGTGCCATGTCCCTTGCGGAGGGGTCCAGAACTGGCCTGGTTGTCTTGTCTTGCAAGTCCCTCCTCCAGCATCCCCTAAACTATGGTTTCAGACCCCTCTCAGAGCACTTCCCAGCCCTGTTTCCAGCCTTGGCTCTGCATGCTGAACCTCCTGCAGCCTGAGAAAGACCAGTCACTGTCCTTTTCTGCAAGATTCAGGGGTGTCACAGGGTAGGACCACCTCTTGCCAAGCAAGGACCCTTTACCTGGACTCTGCCCCAGCCTGTGCCATCCGTGCTTTTGCCTAAAGGATTTGCAGTTTAACCTGCAGAGCAACAGCAGTGCTATGGGAATTGGGGCAAGTTGTCCCCATTGCTTGGAGGACACGAAGAAAAGGGACTGCCTTGAGAAACTCACCCAGATCCAAAGCTCCCAGGTGCTAGCCCTGTGTGTACCGTCCATAGGAGTGTCCTTGTCCCCTTGGCAGTCTCCAGCCAGCATGTGACTGCTGGCATTTCCCACAACTGCCAGTGCCAACGGATGGGGACATTGCCACCATCTCTTAGTCCTTCAGCCCAGGGAGCTGGGAGGAGAGAGGACCCACATTGGGGGTGTACTGCCAGCAAGATGGTGATAGGGCAAACCGGACCCGGCAAAGCCCAGCTCAGGCATGGAGAAAGCCCACCTGCTTTCTAATGCCTGTCTGATGCTACTTAGGAGCATCTATAATCAAAGGCCAGTGATGTTTTTGCATACAGGTGTGAAAATAAGCCTGGCTAATCAAGAAACTGAGGCCAATGGTGCTGGAAGGGGTATGGCAGAGACCTGGTACCTAGGAGAGAAATGAGAAAAACATACCCACAGCAGCCAACTGGAGCAAAATTCCTGGGCAGCTTAACAGCCCTGAGAGCGACTCACAAGACATCCACTCTAATTCCCTCCTTCTCCCCCCTTAGGCTTTGTTCCAGCCCCTCCGTGTAGGTACAGAGCCCTAATCTCTCTGGCATGCAAATAACGGCTGCCACCGGTTTGTTTGTGCTCTCCCCCTTCACCCATTTCCCAAATCTGGCCCCTCGCAGCAGGGAAGGGAGGGAAAGGGAGAAGGGTGTGCACAGAGGCCTCCCAAAGGAAAGCATAGTGGGGTTAATGGACCTCCTGTGCCACACTGCTGGAGGCATCTGTAGCACAGCAGGTCCTGGAAGGCTCCCAGCCGGAGCAGACCGGGAGGGGAGAGGCTCAGAGGAAGATCTTGGGAGCTGAGTGGGGTTCATGTTGCTGGCTCTCACCTCGCACCAGCCTGCAGGCAAGACTGGATATGGAGCAAGTGGGGTGCTGCAGATCCTGATGCGCCACCACATCAGATGCAGCTCTCCAGTCTTAGCTGGGAGCTGTGACCCTGCTTGGCTGCATCTGACCGGGTGTTATGGAGCTGTGGGCTGCCCTGAGCTCAGGGGGACCTTCCCACCTCTGCCCAGCTGTGGCTTGACCTCGCACCCTGAAGCAATCCTGCCGTGCCTGGCAGGATGAAGGTGCAGAGAGATGATGTGGTCCCCCAGTGAGGCTCTTTGAGCTTGGAGATGGTGGGCATGGAGAGAAACCTTGTAGTAAATGTTTGCCTGCTGTGATCTTCTCTTCTTGCAGTGCCTGGAGATTTCTCTCTCTCTCTCTCTCTCTCTGTTGACCTACCTCCTCCTGGTCTGCATTTCCCCTCCCAGCCTAGACAATGGGGAGAGCTGACCCAGAGGAAGGGCAGCTCCCAGCTCCCGTAAAGCCCCCGGATGGTGGTTGGGGCTGGGTCGTGCTCCTCGGCTGCTTTGTGATCACCGGCTTCTCCTATGCCTTCCCGAAAGCTGTCAGTGTCTACTTCAAGGAGCTCATGAAAGATTTCCACGTGGGCTACAGTGACACAGCCTGGATCTCCTCCATCATGCTGGCCATGCTCTATGGGACAGGTGATGCTTGGTTATGCTTCCCCCTCCCCAACTTGTGCCTTCCCCTGCCCTGCAACGGTCCCAGACCATGTCCCCATGGGCTCTCCTCACGCTTACTGGCCCGGTCATGAACCAACATGCAGAATACAATTGTCCCACCACTTCTCTTCTAGAAGTGTGCTGCATTTCATGTCCCTGTTTCCTCTGCCCCAGGAGACCTCAGGGGACACCCCCACCTGCCTCAGACAGTTGACACCAGGTTTGCTCTCATTGCTGAAGTGCTGAAGCCCCTCTTGTTCCAAGAGAACAGGGGGCTGAAGGCAGGGCAAAGCAGAGATCTCCACACCGCAGCCTCTCTCCCTTGGCCGGGCCCAACAGATGTGTATCTAAGCAGCCAAGCAGTGATCTCTGTCATTAGTGTTTCATCTTCCCCGAGTGCCCTGCTTGGGCTGGCTGCCCCTTCCCAGTTGTCCTGTCTCCTTCTGGTCTCCTACTCTGCCTCTTCTGCTTCCTCCCAGGACCAGTATGCAGCATCATGGTGAACCAGTTTGGCTGTCGGCCTGTGATGCTCATCGGCGGGCTGCTAGCTTCCTCTGGGATGATCCTGGCATCTTTTACCACCAATATCATTGAGCTTTATCTGACAGCTGGCGTGCTGACGGGTGAGAGCCCCAGGAGTTGGGGGGGGACACACAAACTTACCTGGGGAAGAGCGAAGCCCATGTTGTATCTCCCTTTAGCATTGCCATGTCTAGCATCAGGTCTCCTCTCACCTATTCGCACCTGCTCACAGAAGGCATCTAGTCCTGAATGTTGCACCTGTGGGAGATGCATCTGCTGGATCTAAACAGGCAGGGCCTGTGGCTGAGGGGAGAGGGACAGAAGAAACATAAGTGATGCTCGGTGATCATGGCAGCTGGGGTGGCATCAGCATATAGTAGTAGGGGAGAGAGGCAAAGTTCCTGTTTAAGGCACAGGTCCTGTCTAAACATGGCCACAGTTACCTGATTCAAATACACGTCAGGTAGACAGGCTGTTTTAGCCCATCTTCTCCGGGGGCAACCCGCCAACATGAAGGAGCAGAGGCTTGTGAGGAACACATGAATCCCATCATGGGACTTCAGGACTAGGATAGTCTGAGGGGAGTTTTCAGCTTGTTGCAAACCACGTCTCATGTTCTTGCATTCCCTGTCTCCCTCCTGGCTCTCACCCTCATGTAGGTCTGGGTATGGCGTTGAACTTCCAGCCCTCACTGATCATGCTGGGCACCTACTTTGACAAGCGTCGGCCTCTTGCCAACGGACTGGCTGCCGCTGGGAGCCCTGTCTTCCTTTCTTCCCTCTCTCCACTGGGGCAAGTGCTGCTGGAGAAGTTTGGTTGGCGAGGAGGGTTCCTTATCATGGGGGGCCTTCTGCTTAACTGCTGCACTTGTGGGGCAGTCATGAGACCCCTGGATATGGGCATGAAGCGGAAGATGGAGAAAGCTCAGGACAAATATGAAGCCAAGGAGATGCTGCCCATAGGAGGGAAATCAGAGGAGGGAATCAGCACCACTGATGGAACCAAGAAAGCCAAGAAAGCCAAGAAAGCCAAGAAGAAGCCCAAGAAAGGAAAGAAGCTTCTGGATTTTAGTATCTTTTCCAACCGAGGGTTTATCATTTATACTATTTCAAAGTTCATCCTGGTCTTGGGTCTCTTCGTGCCCCCCATATTGCTGGTCAACTACGCCAAGGACACAGGCGTACCAGACACAGAGGCTGCATTCTTGCTATCCATCATTGGTTTCATAGACATCTTTGCCCGCCCAGCCTGCGGCGTGGTGGCAGGGTTGAAGTGGGTCCGCCCTCACGTGGCGTACCTGTTCAGCTTTGCTATGCTCTTCAATGGCTTGACAGACATCTGCAGTGCCAGGGCTAGCAATTACACGGGGCTGGTCATCTTCTGTGTCTTTTTTGGCATCTCTTACGGCATGGTGGGGGCACTGCAGTTCGAGGTGCTGATGGCCATCGTTGGCTCCCAGAAGTTCTCCAGCGCCATCGGGCTGGTCCTACTTATCGAGGCTTTCGCTGTGCTCATCGGTCCACCCTCTGCAGGTAGGTCTCTTGCTGCAAAACACAGGTGATTTATTTGGCTGCCATTCCATGGTATTGCAGGTATTGGGCAGGGGCACGGTACTTGAAGAAAGACCCTATTTCTCAACTTCAAATTTTCTCTGGAAGATGAGATCTGAAGTGAGAGCTCCCAGTCTCACTCCATGCACCACAACACTGAATCTGAGCAGGGGCAGAAGATGGCAAGTGATATTTCTCTCTCTGCTTTGCTCAGAGACCTGAGCGATGGCAGGCATACAGAGCTATCCAGAGCAGCATGACTTCCAGTGTCCCTCAGTCCTGATCAGTGGCACTTCCCTCTCTTTCATGCTGGGATCCAGGTCTCTGCCTTCACTGCGAAGGCAGTTGCATAAAATCATGTTATGGCTAGGGTCAGGCACATGCTGCAGGCAAACCTTTGAGAATCTTCAGTAGGACAAGGCGAGGGTCTTTCAAGTTCTCCTTGGTGTCCATGGCCTTTTGATTGGTGCTGTGAATAATGATCTCAACTTGTGTTGGCCCCAATCCCAAGGCACAGGCGAGGTGTTTTGGTGTCAATCAAGCCACAACAGTTTGTAGAGCCACCTGAGGCATTTGATGTTACTTTTTTTTAAGAGGATTAAGTCACTCACAGCTTCTCAACCAGTCTAGTCTAGGCCACAGTCCCTGGTAGGGTCCATGCCCCACAATAGCCCATAAACAGGCTGTTGAACGGGGAGAGAACCTTCACCCAAGAGGTTGGTGTAGGTTACTGTTAAGTGTCTGACCAGGTCTGAGAAAGCCAAATCATGCCAAAGGCTTATTTCCAAATGAAGTGCAGTTCCCTGCATGTGCTATTTGCGAGGAAGGGTCAGGGACAGATCATGGGCAAATCCCCGGGCAGGAACCACTCCATCGCTTCCTGCACTCCCCTCCTTCAGCTGCAACACGTGGGCTAAAGCCCATCCGTGAAGACCTCTGTGTGAATGACCTTTTCCCCAGCACATACCACCAGTTATGAGCAAAACCTGCCCTCAGCAACTCCACCCAGCTCTCAGGTAAAAATTGGTGGCTGAGAGAAGACCCTCTTGATGCTAACAATAATTCACGTCCCATCTTACAAGCTGTGGGGCAGTCAGCAGTCCCAGGCCAGGGGTGTGTGTCAAGAAATATGTGTCTCGGGGGCAGCTGCAGAGAGATCATGGGGGGAGAGGGGGTTTTAATAAACACCAGCGGGTGGTGGTGGGAAACATCCCTTAGCCCTCCTGCCCCAGTTCAGCTGTGCCTTGGTACTGTGCGCACGCGCAATGGGACGCAGACAGTGCAGGATCACCGAAGAACGGTGTTGGGGGGAGCCAAGTCATGGTTCCCACCTTCCCCCCCAGGGGGACTCGCTGCAGCAGGACCCCCCTGGTGCGGGAAGCTTGAGTGTGCTGGCAAACCCGACAGCTCGGACTCAGGGGAGCAGTGCTCAGCTGGAAGAAGGGGGTTGAACAAAGTGGCTTTGTTTGGTGTAATCCTCCTGAGCTGCTTCCCGCTCCGTGGAGCTGAGGGGGTTTGGCATAGGATAAGCTGCGCGCACACACACACACGCGCGTGTACGTGCACGCAGGCTCCTCACTCACCGTCTGGCTTAGGTGAACAGGGGCACATTCACCTGGGGAGGAATTCGCCACGTGCCTCCCATGACTGCTCCGGGAGGCACCTCAGCTTGCCCTGGGGCTGGTTTCAGGCCATGCACCATAGCGCAGCAGGGACCCGGGGGTCACAAGCGCAGTCAGGAGCACGTGGGACCGGGATGAAGCCTCTGGTCACCATGGCCCCATCCTGACTGCAGCAGGGCGGCTGCTCAGGCTCCCCAGCACCAAGGTCTGGGAACCCTTCCTCCATTGCCAGCCCCGGTGCATTCAGAAGATACATTGAGAACATCTCTTTGGCAGAGAAATCATTGGGTATGGGCCAACCAAAGGGATTTCTCTGCCAGAGATGTTTCTTCTCCCCCTCTGAATGTTTTCCTGACATGATAGCTTAAGAAATAGCAATGCCTCTCAAATTTCGTTTCTTTTCTGAGACTGGACAAGCCAAGGCTCATCTCACCTTGGCAAGAAGAAGATGGCCCACCATGACACGAGACCACAACATCAGTGTGTCACAATTATTTAACCTTGTCCAAACAAGGGAAAACACCAACCCCGCACTCTTACAGTACGTTCCCTGGTGGTACAGTGTGGCTCTTGCCCAGGGTGATTTTTGGATATTCAGGCTTCTTGCTCTTCCCTTGAGAAATGGGTCCTCAGCCAAATGCAGGTGCTGCCCGCCTGTGCTGGGCTGTCAGTGCAGGAGCGAGTAGGCTGAGGCTAACTGTCGCATTTCTTCTCCAACCATCAGGACGCTTGGTTGATGCTCTCAAGAACTACGAGGTGATCTTCTACCTGGCGGGCTCAGAGGTGGTGCTCTCCGCTGTCTTCCTGGCCATGGCCACCTACTGCTGTCTGAACCGAGGGAAGAAGAAGGAACCTCCCCCAGAGAAGAACCCCTCCACGGGTGGCGGGAGCGACACCGAGGAAGCAGAGTCCGACGTGCAGGAAGCCGAGGAGCACAGCAGCGACAACCACCAGCCGGCCCACAGCACCGACAATGCCATGGTGGCGGCCAGCGAGGAGGCCAACCACGTGGCAGAGGAGCAGAGCGGGGAGGGAGGCGGGTGTCCCGAGGGGGACGGGGAGGTGTTGGCACGAGACAGCAGCAATGCTGACCAGACAGTGGAGAGGGACAGTTTTTAGCCAGGGCAGAGGAACAGGGATGTATAAAACTGGCCTTGTTCGCACGCACCTCAGCGTGGGAGGGTAGGTGGGATATGGGGTTGAGACAAAAGCAGATGTAAGAGGGAGAGATGTAAGACTAGCTGGTCCTTATGTACATATGTCCACATACCTACCCAGTGATACGTCTACTTGCATCCTGCACCCGTGCTGGTACAACACAGGCTCAGAGCAGCCCAAACACCAAAAAGAAAAAAAAAAAAAAAAAAAATCAATCTTCTTTCCTCACTTCCAAACCAGCCCTGAAGAAAGTCTTTTGAAGAGGCTGCCAAGGACTCTCCTTTTCCTTCTGCACTGTCACAATACAGAACACAAACAATTAGAGACTCTTTGTAATCAGATCTGGTACGCTTTGGTCTGGTGTCAGTGTTTCCTCCGCCCCACTTCCACGGTTGGGATAGCGCCAGGCTAGCTGGCAGTAGGTTTAGGAGGTGGTGTAATTCATGGCTATCATCCGGGCCACCTCCAGCTGCAGCCAGCATGGGGGTAGACACTGCGTTCCCTGCGATGCCTTCCTCGGGCACTGCCAAACCGGTGGGACACCGGCTCTGACCACCTCCGTCTGGAGCATCTTTTGTGGGTGGTAAAGCTGGGGCAGTGACACATGATGGTGCTTTTCCAAGTAGGGAAGCGCTGGGTTAGAGGCCGCTGCTGAGGTGCAAGAAGAAGCCATCTAAGACTAATGCTATTAGGCGAGCAGCCATGAGATGGACCCTCGCCGACAGGAATAGCAGCGAGCCAGCTTTATCTAGGCTGAAGCGAGTCCTGTTGACGTGTGAAGGGAACAACTTGGCCCCTATGGGGGTGGGGGGTTTCAGGGCAGGTAAATAACCGTGTCCCAAGCGATTATCCACTCAGCAGGAATGGCACCAGACGCGTGTGTTTTCCTTTTAAATAGAGAAAACGCCCTTACGTAAAGGAATCAAAGGTAAGGCAGAAGGACAAGCCACAGCCTCCGGGTGCCACTAACAAGGGTGTTGGAGCACGTGGTAAGGCAGGCATGACCCCCCCTCACCCCCCTGCTGCAGTGGTAGATTTCTAGATTCAGAAAGGACAACCTTCCCTGGCATGCTTAAACCACTCTTAATCTGCTTTAGGACTGGATCTCTTATAAACGCCCCTGGCCAAAGCCCTTTCTTCCGGTTTCCTGAACTACTTCACCTCAAAGGCCCCAGGAGAACCTGTGACTATAGCGAGGGATCAAAAACTAAGCAGAGGGCTACAGGGGAGGCAGCTCATGGGACCATCAAAACAGGTGTTTCATTCCAGACCAGACTGACTACAAATTAACAGGTAATGGGCGAAGCCTGCAGGACCCGTAAAGCCATTTAAACCCAGAGGGGGAGCGGGGACATGAAGGAAGGGGTTTCATTCTAGATGCTCCCAAGCAAAGAGCAGTAAATGATGAGCAAAATAAAGCTGCTGAAGAATGTCAGTTGAAGAAGAGACAAAAGAACTGGAAATTGGAGGCGAGAAGGTAAATCCCATGGGGCTGTGCCCTGTCCCACCATGGCTAACACCACCGTTAGCTCTGATTGTGAGCCGGTCACAGCGGTGACTTTGGGCTTTTTCCTGTTCAAACCCACTTAGAAACATCCCAAATCAGACTAAGCACCACGACAAACCCCAGACGCAAAGCTTGGGAGAATGAGAAGCAGCAGCAAGGGTGATGGAGCCCGGTAGGCATTCATTCACTGCTCCACAAGCTTGTTCTCCCCTCCCCACAAGGTAAGATCATTGTTTCTGCTCTGCTCGACCAAGTTGCTCTGCAGCTCTTTCTCCAGCAACCCCCCCCCCAAACCCCCGCCCCCCACGCCGGCTTTTCCTTTTTCCCCAA